ATTCCTCTGGCATGTCTTCTGTTAGGAGGAATCGTCTCAGGCTCCACTGGAGTTCACATTGGACTCCGCGTTTCTGAGGAAGAGAAAGCAGCTGTGAACAAGGGACTGCTCTTAGCATTTGCATATCATAATTCAAGCTGTTGTCAGTGAAATCAGGGCCCAAGATCAGCTCAAATTTAAGGAGAAAGGGGCTGTAGATTAAGAGGAAATAAGCACGACAGTTCCTGTGCATATCTGTAATACGCATATCTGTAATACGTGGGAATTTAGTGAGGGGCGAGTCAGAGAGGCCCCTGGTCAGCCAAGGCTCTAACACAGCGCTAGGAAAGCTGAGGGCGGCTTCTTGTACGATGTTGGGGAGGCATTTTGGTGTTTCAACAAGAGCACCTATATGAGTAGGTATATCCTAAAGAGAAAACCTTATTCTATATTAATCTATGTTCTGTAGTATAATCCTATGTTTTAAGACACGGGAAGACAGCTGGGCATGGGCATGGGTACCTCCCATCCCAGCATTCTGGAGACTGAGGCAGGAACATTGAGAGTTGGAGGTCAGCCCAGGTTACATAATGAAAGCCACTCTCCAAAGAAAATAGAGACTCTCGACTACCCATATCCTCCACTGTGCTATTCACAATAGCTAGGAGTGGAATCAGCCTAAGATCACCTGGTGAGTGGATAATTCAGATGCAGTACGTATACACAACAGAGTATTATGCAGCTGCAAGGAAAGGAAAACTTACAGGAAAATGGATGTAACTGGGGAAAAAAAACATTCTGAATGAGGCTACCCAGACCCAGAAAGACAAATGCCACGTGTTCTGTCTCATATGAGGGTCCTAGCTTTACTTGTTTTGCCTTGTGTATTGGACGTGGAGTACTAATATCAGCAGGAGCTTAGAATGGGCCACAGGCTGAGATTCACTTCAGGAGAGGCGAGAAGACAGAAGTGAAGTGAGAGCAGAGAGTGCCAATGCCCAGGGGAGAAGGAGTCACGCAGGTAGAGGAGTGACGGGTAGGGAAATGAAGGGCCAAGGGGAGATTTCACCAAAAGGAAGCGTGCATGGAGAAGCTCCTTAGGAATCTATGATCGTGCAGTTCAAGTGCAAAGATATAACTGTAGAGCATATGCATGATGGTTAGTTTGTTATCAATTTGACACAAGCAACAGCCTCTTGGAAAGAGAAAACTTTGAATGAGTAAATGCCAGATTGACCTGTAGGCAAGCCTGCGACGCTTTCTTTGATTAATGATTCCACAAAAAAGGGTTCATTCCAGAGATGGTGTCTTAGTTGGGGTTTCTATTGCTTTGACAACACCTTGACCAAAACACAAGCTGGGGAAGAAAATGCTTTTTGGCCTTATTCTTCTATATTGCTGTTCATCACTGAAGGAAGGAAGGGCAGGAACTCAAACTGGGCAAGAACCTAAAGGCAGGAGCTGATGCAGAAGCCGTGGAGGATGCTGTTTACTGCTTTTGTTCCACGTGGGTTGCTAAATCTCCTTTCTTATAGAACCCAGCAACACCAGTCCAGGGATGGTACTGCCTATAATGATCTGGGCTTTCCCCTATCAACCACTAATTAAGGAAACACTCTATGGACTGGCCCATAGCCCAATATTAGGGAGGCGTTTTCTTAACTAAGAACTAAAGGACTATATTTTGTGTCAAGTTGACAAAAGTTTAGCCTGCACAGAGAGTGATTCTAACTCTGGATAGGTGGTCCTGCATAGTACAAGAAAGCAAGCTGAACAGGTCATAAGAAGCAAGCCACTAAACAGCATTTCTCCATGTCCTGTGCCTCGGTCCTTGACCCTGGGATCCTGTTTTGAGTTCCTGACAAGCCTTCCTTTGATGACTGTGATATGGAAATATAGATGGAATAAACCATTTTGTCCCAAGTTGCTTTGGCCATGGTGTTTTATCATAGCAATAGGAACCCTAATGTCTTAATTGGGTGCTTTCTGTAATTTCATGATGTTGCTAGCTAGTCTTTCTACACACTTTATGCCTTTAACATCGGCTTGACTCTGAGGGATTGTCATCATTGCCCTAATCTTTAATAAGACAAGATGAAGCTTGCTTTCCTAAGTAACTTGATTTTTCTTGTATGCTCATAAGTACCAAGTGAAGACACTTTCCAGTTCATAGTTCCGTTTAACTCACTGACTACTACCCTCATTGTTTACAGCCAAGACAATAGCTCTAGGGTTCTGAACTAATCCAACCCCACAATTTATCTCTTTTATATTTTCTACTGACCAAAACCCATTCTCAAAAAATAATCAAAGCAACTGAAAATTCTCTTCACTGTTAGTGACACTGAAAATTGGGACAACTACTTCAAATACCATCAGCCAGTTTCTTAAAAATATAGGTGAAACTCATGCCACTATCCGGAATTGCTCATTTTTTATTTATCCAAAATGATTTTAAAAATGTGTATCCACCAAAAGACTTCATGTGGGTCTATAGCTATTTTAGACATCATTACAAACATGTGGAAACAACTAGACTATTTGCCATGCAATAGGTGAGTAGATAGTGTAATAACCCTAACTGTTTGTCACAAAGAGGTAATCTATCACAGCACAGTTGAGTTGGATGATTCTTTAATAAATATTGCATTTCAAAAGGTTCCCCAGCTATAGGGATGTCAAGAAGGCCATTGATTACAGTGTATTAATTACTGTTTGTTGTTATGATCAATGACAGACAAGAAGCAATTAGAGAGGAAAACTTCATTGGGCTCCCAGTTTGCAAATACATTGTATGCCAAGGAAGCTTGGGGCAGAAGCAGCCCTTGGGTGTGACAGCAGGAATGCCAGGCTTCTTGCTCACATCTAGACAGACTGGGAAGCAGAGAAAGGAATTCTGCACTAGCTGGCTTTCCCCTACACACCCTGCTTTGCCCAGTCCAGGACCACCATCTGTGGAGTGGTGCCACCCACATTCATTGGGGTTCATATTCCCTCAGCTAATCCTCTCTGGAAACACCCTTAGGGGCACACCCAAAGGTATTCTCGAGTCATACCCTAAACATTACTTAATCTAAACAAGTTGACCTTGAAGATGAACCATCACACAGAAGTTTGAGGAGCACATTGGAAGGTGGAGTCTTGGGGAATCAGTTCATTGAGAATATTCTGCAAGGCATTGCAGTGGTAGGTTCAAGACAAGATACATGACAAAATTCTGGAGAATGAACCCCAATGGAAATGGTGTACTCAAAGCAATAAAAAATGGTAGCAATATCTGTTCATTAATCAGATCAAATGCTCCTTGCTAATGCAAGATCTCCACGACCAAGGAAACTGGGAAGGAGTATCGCACTATATGTACAGTCTCTGTACTTAATTTTTATGTGAAAATAAAGCTCTCAAAATTTATTTTTAAAAAAGAGCATCTTCATACCTCAAGCTTTCTTTGTCAGAATCTGATGCTAGGTTCAGAGACATCTGGTTATGTCATTGTCCCTAAGGCCTTAGCCCACAATCGAGAAGACACAGCCATCGTGCTAAACAACAGTCTGAGAATGCTCACGTAGTCCAGCACATGGGACTGGAACAAGATGAGGTGTCATCACCTCCACAAGAAGAGGGCATCACCAAATGGAGAAGATGAATTCAACTCTCCACTTAAACAAGTTTGGCAGGAGGGGATTAAGGACTTGCCAGTTTGCAGGTAACAATAGAGATGGCAAAATAATGAGAACATGGTGGGGGAGACTCTCAGAAACAGGGGCAGATGAGTTTTCTTAAGAGGTAACATGTCCTCAGGAGCTTCCTGGGCTTTGCAGAGTCTTTGGGAAAAAGAGTCTTTCCAGCTATGACTCTGAGCCTGGGCTGCCTCTTTCCAAAACACTGCTGTCGCATTAGTTTAGTCTCCCAATGAAAGAAACAAATCCCTAAAGCCTTAGGAGTCATTGCAGTGGGAATGTCAACCCCAGTTTTGAGCATGACAAGTATTGCTGGAGCTATGGGTGAGGGAAGGCATCGGTGTGTACTTGCACGGCATTTCTGCCACTCAGAACACCTCAAGTTCAAGGAAGGAGAAGCTGTTCTGTAAGCCGAGGAGAAGACAGGAGAATTGATGGATTCCAAGTAGACACTGAGTGAGACTTGGAGGTTCACTGTTGATCTGTTCTCTCCAACTAAAAGCAATCGCCAACAGGTTCTTTTTAATACTAGTCTAGACGAGGTTTTGCAATGTTGCAGGTTCTTAATTGCAGTAATTACTGCCTGAGAACAATTAAGCAGTCACTACCAAACATTTCTATTGGGTGAATCTAGTGTCCTATTAATAAACAGTCATGGAGTTATCTCTCTCTGGAAAAACCTCCCTGGCTGGTTCTATACTACAGAAATCTCAGGCCAGGTTTGTTCCCACACATTTAGAGTTCACGGAGCAGCTGTGTCTGTCTGAGCCAAAATGGTCTCTGTTCCTCTGAGAGCCAGAGGCAGGTTATGCAGCTGCCTGATGCTACTGTCACAGTGTTCTTGTTACTAATTAAAGGTAGTAGCTGTGAATTCAGTGTGAGAGACAATAAGCAGCCATCACTTACCCATAGATGACCTGGATTTGCCTTCTGCAAATCCCGGTTCCCTCGGCCTGGCTCCTTGCAAATTAGGCCTCTAAGCATCTCTTCTCTGGGGAAGCAGTTTTTAATCTTTAGATCAAAGCCAAATCCGAAAGATAGCTTTTATTTTGAATCAGAAATTTCGTATTCTAAATTGTCATTTTATCTACAACCACCTACTCCAGCCTTCTAGCTGGGATGGAGTTTCTTTATGTTTCGCCGTTCAATTGCCGTGCTGGATTTATTATTTCAGGAGAGTTTCTTGTAAGCCACAGTCTTTTTTTTTTTTTTTTTAAATAATGTATCCACATTATGGAAACACAGGATGGTAGAGCTAGATGTCAGTCAAAGTGCTCCCTGTTCTCAGTGTTAGCTGACTCAGTCCAGCCCTGAGAGGAAGCTTGAAGGAGGCTGTTAAATCTATTCATAGATTCGGTGATGTTCCAGCCACGGGGAGAGGTTGCAAATGACGCATGTAGGCACCATCAGTGACATAGGAGGAGGCTGCTGAGGGGGAAGGAGAGCAGAAGTGGGGGTGGACATGCGATCAGAGGCCATAGCATGCGTGATGCCAGCCAAACCATTTCTCCGCAAAGACACATCACAAAGACTCAGTAGAGTCGGCTGCCCTGACCCATCTTCCATGGCCTTTGTCTGAACTGTCATGTGCATTAGTGACCCTGAATATACTCCTTGTATGCACGCAGACACTGCTGAGTCTGGGGACTCCAGGCCACCTGCAGTATTACTAACAGATTGCCAAGGACTGGTGGAAACAAACGTGGAAAAGAAACGGTGGGCCGTAAGGAAGATGCAGATGGGAAGACAGTCCTCCGTCCATGCTCCTTGGACGGACAAATTAAGGCCCTGGTTCTAGATCAGATGGGAAATAACATAGCTTGGTGCCTGGGAGAGATTGCAGCAGACTAACGAATTGAGGGTGGGGGTGGGGGAGTCCAACATATTGCTGCTGGTAGATGGAAGATTACCATAGAAATTTTAGGGTTCTTTGTTACATAAGACTAACTCACACTGATTAGTGAATATGCATGAACATATTCATAGATTCCCAAACAAATGAAAATTCCCTTTCTATGATCCCTTCTTATAAACAACCATTTATTGAGAGCCTACTAATGTCAGGGTGTTAGGTGTTGCACACAAATACCAATAGTTCTTGTCCCATTTATGACTACAAGAGTACTAAACAGGGTCTGAGGAACAATATGGGCCAAGCAGGTAATAATGGAAAGTTTTGCTTCTCCAAGTTGAGAGATTCTGTCCGCCATGCCAGGAAGAGCTGTTACAACTAACGAAAGGTCATGTAACAGAAAGGCCAGGGGGATTGGTGGTGTCTCTCTCATCATCAGGACCATTCAGGGAACCAAATATCCTCACTGGGGAATCAGATTAGATTTGATGCTCTCTAACGTCTCTTCAAATGCAAAAGTTACAGTTTTATATCTTATTTAATTGTTGTGTATATTTACACAATACATTTTAGTCTTGTTTCTCTACTTCAAGTCCCTCACACACACATCACCTCTCAAGTCAATCATTTATGTCCATGTCCTGCTTTGTGTATGGCCCGCTGAGTTTAAAAAGAGTTACTTGTATGAGGGTGGATAGAAGATTGATTCTAAAATCAATGGAAACAATCTAAAAGCTTTAGTAAAGTGCTTCAGGTGATAAGACACTTCCCAGTGTTGCTGGCTGCTTCTGGCTCCAGCCTAACCATGGTCCTGCTCTCTTCCCTCCTCACCAAGTGTTCTCTCATGCCTGGGTCAACAGAAGGAGCATCTGCCTGCTCATCTCTCCAGCTTATATAAGAAAAGCAATCTGGAAGAGTGGGGAGGTAGCAGGGAGAGAAGGGAGGCTCTCCGTCAACACCATCATGATGCCAATTGTTGCATAGAATAATAGTTTCCTTATGGCTTCTACAGGTACACGGTGAGTTTCAGCTGCATCAAACCCTTCCCTCCTGCTGTGAAGCAGACCCCTCCTTTACACTTTCTTTTAAGCTAGTTATGTCCTGTGAGAGCAGATGTCATTTTGTCTTTCTAAGGTCGGTTTGTTTTGCTTAATATATAATCAGTTCCTTTCTTTTTTTCTGAAAAGTGCCATGGTTTTATTCTTTCTTGAAACTGATTAATACTCCATTGAGTATGTCAGATTTGAAGAAGAAAAAAATTACTTTTTATTGTGCATAGTATGGATTTTTGTTTGTTTTGATTTTTGTCATTTGGTTTTTTTTTTTAATTTTTTTTTGTTTGTTTCGTTTGGCTACATGTGTATTGGTGTACCCATGTATGCCTGGTTGCCATGGAGTCCAGAAAAAGGCATCCGGTCCCCTGGAACTGGCATTTCAGGTGGCCGTGAGCTGGGAACTGAACCTAAGTTCTTTGTGAGGATAGAAAGTGCTCCTGACTGCTGAGCCATCTCTTGATCCTGAACCCATGTCTAACGTTTTATGGTGAGCCTCAGTGTCCTTATATGAGTAAACTTATTTGATTTTATGAGGATTCAACAAGGCTCAAAGTAAATTCCATCCAGCTGTCTATTATGCTGTTAGGTGAATAAAGATAGCTCCATTCCTAAATTGTTGAAAAGTAAAAAGGTGATTATTTTATAACATGTTAAATTTACATAACAATGGCACCTTGCTGTCCATTGATCATACTTTCTGGGGGATCCACACATAATTAGTTGTGTATGATGTGTGACACCTTTTGGGCTGATGTCTAGAGAATTTATTTTTGGACTTATTATAGAAAATGTGTGCCAGCTTCACACCTTAGAACTCAGTTTGTTTATTGAATATTAACTCCTTAACATTTGAATAACATTTTAATTCCATTCTTAGTTTATTTTTATCTATTCAATTAAATACATATGTATTATACATCTGTGGGATTACAATGTAATATTCACATGCACCGAATACCCTGTAATGTTCAAATCAGGGTATACATCACTCTCATCAAATACTAATTGTGGGGTTTTTATTTAATTAATTTATATGCATTTAATTAGCATATTTATTTATAAATTTGGCGGGCTTTATTAGGAATAGTTATATAAAACAACCCTTTGATGTTGGGAGATGGCTCCTTGGTCTAGAGTACTTGTTATTGTTTAGAATGGACCCAGGATCCCTTTCCAGAACCAACATGGGTTTCACAACTATCTGTTACACCAGCATCATGGCATCAATTCTCTCTTTTTCCATAAGTGTGGAAAAACAAGGGGTGCACATTCACACATGTAGATATTCAATACATACAAAATAAGTATAAGTAGATCTTCCAAAGGAAGAAGCAGCTCAATTTAAAAAAATGTAAGAAACTGGTGCTATAAATATCTGCCTGCTAAAATGCAACTAATATTTCACACTTGTCTCATTTTTTTTCCCTGAGCCAGAGATAGGTCCCCAATGTAAACTAAGTGGCTTCCAAAGACATGGTCCCGTAGCTCCCTTATTACTCGCTAGGACAAACCCTAAAGACCTCCCCTTCTGAATGCTCCCCAGCACAGCAGCATTTCAGATTGTCACTGTGTCTCCAAATGCACCTTGAGAGTCTCTTGCTGGAGGAGTATCCTTGCAGAGCTATTTTTGTAAGTTCCAGTCCTAGCTGAACCTATCCCCTACCGCTCACTGCCACCATGTGAGGAGTTCTAGCAATGAGAAATTCACAAGCAATGTGGCAGTGTTCTATTCCCTTTGTTTTTCCAAGTCCAAAAACTAGCAGAGACGGAAGTGTCATCAGATTATAAGTCCCTGCCTGCCTGTGAGCCTTGGGTGATCACCTTCTCCCGTATCTAGTACACATAACGCCAATCAGTTTCAAAGCACTCAAACTACAAGCAAGAAATAAACCATCACAGTCAGGGTGTTGTTTGCTACAGATATCCAGTCCATCTTGATTTTAAAAATCCTCATAAAAACTCCATCGTTTGTTCAAACCGACTTCTGAGAGCTCATGCTGGCAGGGTCAGAGTTGTGGGCGTTAAGGTACAGTATTGCATGTGTCAACAGCACAGCCAGTATGAAGAATCTGATGCACATTAGCAATCTAGCTCACTGTGAAGAGCCGTGAATCAGAGCTCCAATGCCTTTGGCTTCCCCAGAAAATATCTGTTATGTGTAGATGGAGACAATGGGAAGCACCGCTTGTGCCTAGGAGCTGTCTGGAAATGGCAGATCCCAGTGCCGGGTGATGACCATTTCAGTCATCCTTTCCTTTCGTTGTTTGTCACAGTATGTCAGTGAAGGTATGTCAGACGGGAAGCTTGAGAATGTAACTAGCAATCTAAGCAGAGCAGAACACTGAGGGCATTGGGCATGAGAAGACCAACTCTCCTATAGGTCACCCCAAGACAGTGACCTACAGACCAGATGCAGAGAGCTGGACTATGGAAGCCGTGCCCGCAGTGAGCTGGGTAAAGACGAAAACTTCTTAGTAGCAACTCTAAAGTCTGTGTCAGCTTCAAAGCTCTGCTTAGTTCTGGCTTGAACAGTGTGTTTGTTCTAAACAAGGACCCAGGGCCAGTGAGCTGAAAGACATCTTTGCACATCCCACAAACACCCGCTCTGTGCCGGGAACTGTGAGCAGAGAGAAAGCAGGATGGGTAGGGAGGACCAGCAATCCTTCCCAGGCACCTCGCTCGTCCATGCCAGTTTCCACAGCTTTATCTTGCTATTAGGCCTGTTGAGAGCACCAGCCCTTTCCCTAGGTCCTTTATGCCGTGTCATGTGCTTCGAGCCCGAGCTGGGATGGGTCACCTTGGGTTTTAATGCCTATGCGAAAGCCCCAATGAACTCTTCTTCTTCAGTCCACACTAATCCAAGGACGGCTTCTTGCGCTCTTAGAAAACACAAAAACACACGACTATCTAAAAAAATCTATATAAACTTCATCTATGTCTGTGTGGGTCAGAAACAGATTCCAGATAATGTGTGCTAGGAGATGTTCTGGTAAAAGAAATGATACCTTGCTGCATGGCTAATAAAATGCATCATCTGTCAGCATTGAAGAGCCCTTTTGAATCCTTAATTATTATCATTATGCACAAGTGTAAGTACTCTGGAATTTCATGCTGGGGTGGGGCCCTGTGAACTGCTCTTAACTTCCCCCACAGGGATCTCTGAGAAGCCTACTCCCGGAGATCAGCATATCCCCACCCCTCCCCTTTGAGAGGAGTTATTTGGGATTGTTTTAGTAACAACTGGTTGGACAGCAAAACTGTGTAAATTCTGTGGTTAGAAGCACTGATAGTCTCCTGGTTACAGTGCTTGTGCTAGATGACTTCCTAGCTGAGGTCACATAGTCACCTTTCCAAAAGTTGCAAAGGGGATTCCCAAAATTCTCCTAAGCTACCAACGAGCATCATTTATGTTCACAGGCACAAAATAGAAACCCTCTGAAGTGGAAGCTTTAACTTGTTGCATAATCTCCTCACTAGCAAAGTAAAGCAGAGTCTAAGCAACTGACATCACTAATAGCATCCTTCTGCATCCAGCCTACCTTTGTGACAATGGTATGAGTGTCCAGGGCCCCTGCCATCTGTGGTGGTTGCTGAGGGGTTTTCAGAAACATTATGAGAACATTATGAGGCTGCCTCCTTTTCTGAGGTGTTTGTAATCCGAATATAGGGTGTCCTCCAGAGAGATATGACAAGTAGTTCCCAAACACCAGGCTTATGTCAGACTGACTTGGGTTTCAAGTCTTTCTCTCCCACTTTCAGACTGTTTGAATCAGAATCCCAAATTCCATCTCTTGATCTGACATTTCATCATCTGCAAACTAAAAATGCTGACTAACTCATTTGAGAATTATCATGACTGGGGAGGAAAAATAGACTCACTGAGCACAGAAAATATTACCAAAGACCATGGCAAAGATGATCAAACAGTGGTTGGGATAGAGTAGTTACAAGCAAAATTATAAGGCATGCCATATGTATCTGATAGACATTTGAAAAAAAGAGAACCCCTTTGGGGCTAAAATAATATAAAAAAAAAAAAAAGTCTTTTAGAGTATAAAAGGACCTAAACTAATTTTAAAATTAAGTGTAAGATTCAGTTAAGGAAGGTTAGTATATAGACATTTCAAGTGGCCATTGTAGCCATGCCTAGTAGAAATATTCAGTCTGCACTGTGACCTATCGTAGTATTTAAATATATTACATAAATATATTACTTCACCGAGTGATTAATGAAATCCCCAGAGCTCCTTTGGAGAGACAGCTATTGGACAGGTATCCAGGTTTAGTTTCTCAGCAACCTCTCCTAATTGTTTGGTTCTGTTATCCTTCAGAGGTAACACCCTTGGATACTACCAATGATACAATTGAAACCTGAAGGTTAGGAGATAGAATTAACATTGCTAATCCATTGACCTGAAATAAGGAGTCTACACTGGATTATCTGGTGAGACTCCACACAATCACAGTGTCCTGAAGTATGGAAAAGGGATGTAGGCGGGAGAATGGGAGAGATGGCAAATTAAGATGGCTGACCTTGAAAGAGAAGAAAGGGTTCTTGAGTCAATGAATGCAGGCAGCCTGCAGAACTAAAAGGACAAAGAAATTGCTTCCATCCCAGAGGAGGCCTATAGCATCTTGGTTTCCACCCAATGTGAGTATACTGAACAAATGAATTCTAGGACTGTAAAATGACATATTTAAGTTGCTTTTAACACATCCACGTTTGCTGATTGCACATAGCGGTGGTAGATATTCATACAAAAGCCTTTTATTGATACAGACAGTCTACACTTATGTTCTGTGTTTAAACCTTTGCCCTCATATTTTAAGGACAAGAGTGTTCTCAACCTGGGAAGTATTGGTTTCGGTTCTGTGTTTAAACTTTAGCTCTTATATTTCAACATCAACAGCATTCTCATACTGTGAAGCATTTGTTTTTGTTTTTTTTTTTTAAGTAGTACAATAAAAGTCAAATGACAATGACCTTTAACTACCTACAAAGAAAGGTACTCTCACCCGAGAGTTCTCATAGGTGAAGGACTTCGTAGCTATGAAGATGAAAGGAGGCAGAGAAAGGAAAGGCAATGGAATATGGACCAGTGCTTTGTGTAAATGCCTCGGTCTGAGCTGTTGTGACTGTTTACCATGATTGGACTCCATCTATCATGTTTTGCTGTTTGCTTTATTGCATACCATGTAAACAATCCTAGTTCTAATGGCATCACATCCTGAGATATGTTGTTTCCATGCGCTAAATGGTTGGAGATGGTATTAATGTGTCTTAAAGAGTTTCCCACCATTTCTATGAATCACTTCTTTTAGAGGAGAAGTTTGAGACAGGGACTTGACACATGGCCCTGGATGCTCTGTTTTCACTCTTTTAGTAACTAACAGGATGGCAGTTGATTCCATGTAACTACACTGCTGATGGTTAATGTCCGGGTTACTACTCATCTCTTGTTGGCTTTTGACTCAACGATACTGGTTGTAACTGCCTTTCTCTTTGTGTTGTTAACTGGGATCTGTATAATGCTTCTCTCCATTTTTGTACTGAGTTATTTATCTCTAATTTATGGTTATTTGTTCCTGTCTTGCACACTGACTTTAAAATGTTGCCATCTTATTTCGCTGGCCAAATCTTCTAAGAGTACTAGTAGCATGCTTATTTTCCTGCTTGTTGTTGAAGTGGGAAGCCATATCTTCTCCTCAATCTTTCTTGCCTTTTCTGAAAGGAATTTCGCTTTCATAATCTGAAGTTTCTTCCTCAGAATAGACAGCATTGCCGAGCTTTTCTTGGGCATGTGTAACATTTCCTTTTGCTTTCTGACTCACATTTCTTTGCTTGTTTGTTGTCCTCACTGTTGTTGCAAAGGAAGTCAACAGTTGAGTTTCAAATAGTCACTTGGACAAGGAAAGTCTGTGTCCCAGCAACCCTCTGGTCCTGAGCATGTCTTCAACTTCTCTGGTGCCTTGTCCCTATCATCAGTCCCAAGCGTGGTTCACATTCATTAGTGGTTCTCAACCTTCCTAATGCTGGGACCCTTTAACACAGATAGTTCCCCATGTTGTGGTGACTCCAACCATAAAATTAGTTTTGTTGCTACTCCGTAACTGTAATTCTGCTACTGTTAGGAATAGTAGTGTAAATATCTGATATGAAACATCCATAGGGCCCGACCCATAAGTTGAGAACAGCTGTGTAAAAGGATGCTTCATAGTCTCACTGCTTTGTGACCTCTGAGGGAACTTGGGAAGAAAAAAAAATGCATCATTATAGCCATTAAAATCTAAGAAAAACTAGCTTCACCCTCCAGTGTGAGTGAGGATGCTACATATCACCTTGCAGTTGTTGAAAAAAATTTAAACTGTTGAACACTTTTGAATTCACCCCAGATCTAATGCTGACAGTTATTAGATTTGTTGCAAGATCTTGTGACTTAACTTACTAATGGATCTGTCCATATATCAAGGTTCCACACTTCAAAACCATGATAACTAAATGTCAATAGAATCCATTTATTTTGCAATTATGTGTCTATTGCTTTATGCATTTATAGATATAATTTAGGGGAAAGATTCAACGCTTCTTCAGAATACAAAGGTAATTGGAACGCAGCATACAGGATTTTCATATTAAAGCATGTTTTAGCTTCTTGCATCTCAGACTGCTGTATCTTAAGAACTCTTTCTCTCTGTTTTATGTTTTAGAAAAACATAGTCAAGGTTTGTGGCTGCACCCCATAGTTATAAAATCTGAATAGCAAGATAAATTTAATTTTGTTCTCTGAACAAATCTGGTACCTAACATACATTGTTCAAATTTTAATTACATATTCAAAAGAAAGACATGCATGTATTCTGGACCTTGAGCACCCTTCTTGCTTTGCTTTCGTCGAGCAGAGAGAATAATAAGCGTGCTCACCTCTCCTGTTCTCTGACCGATTTTGTGCTCTCTCTTTATCCAAGGTTGCATCTTCTTACACAGAGAATTTTAAAGCCTGTACGTTAGACAGATGGGAATGTGAATTCCTGCCTTATCACTTACTAACTCAGGAGAGTTGGAGAATTATTTAAAAAATTACATAACTGGATCAACCCTCAATTTTCTCACTCATATAAGAATTACAATAAAAGCTTTAACATTCTATCGCTTGGAAAATCAGAGACGATCTGTCATTGTAAATATTCAAGCACATTTTCTGGCCTGTAATTGGGGACTATTTAGTATCTTCCAGTAAAGTTTACTCTCACATTAAATAGACATGTAATAACTTAGTCAAGTTGACCTGGGGGGTAGCAACCTAACACTGGCAACAAAAATGACCAAATACTGACATGCCGTCTTCCCATATTCATTGTTTCTATTCCTCCCATGGGTTTTGAGCACTGCTAACAAGTGGGTATAGGGATACTTTACTTCGGTTTCTAGTTTGTTTCATCGCTTTGAGTGATGAAGGTTATTTATCTGGTCAAGAGCAATAACGCGTACGTGTGTGTCTTGCTTTGCTGCCTTGCCACACTGCCAATATGATGGATGCAAAAAGCTTCCATGATGATTTATGTGGCTGTAGGCAGATTAATAGATATGCAGGACACTCATTTATATTCCGAGTTCGGAGGAATTCATGTCTCTGATTCAATCCTTTATTGATGTGATAGATTTAGACAGCTTTGCGGCCAGCCTCTCACGGTGCCAATGCAGACACAAGGGCCATGACGCGTACAGCACAATTAGCTCTACACACATTGCCAGGGACAATATATCCAACCGAGTAAGATATAAAATCCAAGGGACAAAAAGGGGCACCCTTCAAATATGCCACTTATGAAACACGCACTGAAGAATGATCTACAGAGACATTTGCAAGTAGACGTTTTCCCTCTGTTTAATAGGAACAATATCATCTGCCAAGAACAGACCTCGGGAACCAAAGTTGGGGAGATAGAGTCATTAAAGCTGTTCCAGTTATATAAGGGTCAGGATTTGTTTATCAATAAAGAAGAAACTGAGCATCCCTTTTATACTGTACCCAAAGTGCTGCCAATTGGTGCAGGACTATACAGACACTGCGCTATTTAACTTCTCTTCATGTTGTATCAACTTGTGATGAACCCTCAGTCACAGAGGGACACACTGGGTACTGGTCCTTTATAGGCCGGGATGGCAGAAAAGAAATGTGGTGTTTATAAGTTCAAGAATTTGCATCTGAAACAGGACTGGAGTTCTAAAAGAAAAGTAGAAACAGGCCCTGCAGTAACTATGAAGATCAACAAGACAGGTTCTGGGATCATTTCACAAGAGACTACTGCTTAGGGCAAGAATAAAAGGTTAATAGACACTTCAAGGTCCTTTTTGTTTGCATGTCTAAGATTCAATAAATACAGGCCAGAGGAAAGGTCCTGAAGCTTAACATGTGCAGCAGCTTTATCTGCAACCTGCTTAGGTTTTCTACTCTCATCTGGCACATTCTGTAAACTCTAAGTAAAATATTATCTTGCAGTTGTAGTCGAAACCACTCACTGTGGTTTCAGTATAATCACCATAGGAGTGTCACACGATCATTACATTGCCTCTCCAGCATTTTCTGGG